TCAAGAGTTTTCTATGATCGGGTTAGATCAAGTCTATATAAACCATCAACCTATACTCTTGAAATGACATCAGAATAAAATTCTTTTAACACTCGTTCTAAGTCCAAAAGAGTTCTTTAACAAGATATTCTTCTTAAGAATTGCTTGATTCATCATTCTACCATGACATGTTATTACAAGCTTGTCTGATTCTTTAGGGATAACTCCAATATAATTATAAGGGAAATTTTCACCACAGGTCCACAACACAATATATGTTGATATATGTCTTTAGGATAGTTTTGAATAGATAATATATTTACACGAAGAGGTGATAATATCCGCCACTTTCTACTAGTTAGCTCCCACAGGCAAAGAATCAATTGCTAAAGGTTCATATAGAGCTGTTACTGTTGCCTCTCTGTAGCTTAATGAATTCAATTGAAAACCATATTAGCTTTATATTGCTGAAGATAGCAATTGAGCAAGTGAAACAAGTTCTGCAAAATAATGAGTTCATAACAAGTGTAAATGCAATAAAGCGGAAAAAAATTAGTATATTCTGCCAGTTCAAATTTCACTGCCTTGGCAAAGTAGTGAAGTGGGATAAGCTCATGCAGTAAGAAAAACAGAGAGAAATTCCATATTGCACTAACCAATGCAATACTCTTGATGATGTCATCTGATAGAAAATCTGATTCTTTTTCCTTGCGGGAAAGCAGATTTGCAATCACTGCCTTCTCCTCTTTGTCCAGCAGAGTATCTGAGCATTGAAATTCGTCTATGAAACCCTGCAAGAATTTATCTCTCTTCTTGTGCAAAGAGATCATTTCCTTTTCCAGTCCCTTGTAGCCAATCCATCTTAATATAGGGACGAAGTCACACAAATTCAGCGCAATGCCTGCGCCTGAAGCAAACATTTCCCCGAATTCTTTAATTATTTGCATCCCCAACTCCTCCCCAGCATCCTCTTCTCTGATACAGCGTCTTCCAACAAGCATCCTCATGATAACATTGAGTGTAAAAACAGAAATCCAACGGTTCAATTCAACTCTTACTTGGCTTCCATTCTTTGAAACTCTGTATATTGACCTGAGAATCATCTTAATTTCTTCTTCCCTGATAACTGAAGTCCTCTGGAGGCTGTTGAAGGAGAAAGATTCTACGACAAAGAGGCGACGAAGATCCCTCCACATGTGGCCATATGGGACTACCCCAACGGCTGTATAGTTATAGGAAAGCCTGTCCCCACCCATGCTCCGAGGACGGTTTGCAAGTATGATATCATTCCGGGTGAAGCACTCTTCAATGGCGGATGGAGATGACACAACAACAAAGGAACAGCAGCCGAATTGGAGAAAGAAAATGGGACCATATCTTGATGATAATGAAGTCAAGTCTTCGTAGAGTGAGTTCTTGATAAGGTAAAGATGGCCAATTATTGGCAAAGCAAGTGGACTTGGTGGTAACTTCTTGTTCTTGACATGGTTGAATAGCAAGTTTTTGAAGATGAGAAGTAAAGGTAAAGAACACAATAAGATGGTGACGAGGTAGTAGCAGAGATTCTCCATGGCCTAAAGCTGAAAATCACACGAGACTTCTTAGTTAACTTCTGCTATTTTTGTCCCCTCTTGCATTGATAATGTGCAATTATTCGTGTGCTAAAAAGTCAAACTGGTAACGCCAAAGTCATTGGTTATTGGATAATGCGTAATAATTCTTCACGCAATTGTGAGAGGAACTTTGTCGTTTGATGTCTATGAGCTCACCAATTGGCAAGAATTATACATTGAAATATATATCCAATAAAGATAGAGGAGTGGCGTTGGTGTAAATTTTTTTTTTTTTGCTAATTTTTATATATGTGACGTGCATCTAAACCCACTAATATAGGCACTGTTAGGAGATGAAAGATTTATCCAAACAACTGAAAGAAAACAAGAGAATAGATGTGGTTGTTGGCATCATCTAACTTGAAAAAATTAAGGAACGTTCCAATAGTTACAGCAATGATCTTGTTTGGCTTGTGAAGCAGATAGATACTGGAAGTCTTACCAGTACGATTCCTTAGACAATATCCAGGGTGTAGAACTCAGGGTCAGATTCTTGCAAAGACAATAATGATTGGATTATGGTCTTGCTCTGATCAGGTGATGAGGCTGAACCACTTCAGTTCTTCAACTTTCCTCACTCAGATCGTGCATGAAATCATCAAACTTCCCCTGGTAATTCTTCAACATCTTCCTATACGTTTTCCCAAGACCAAGCCACCTCATTATTGGCACATATTGACAAATGTCCGCGGGCAACTTTGCCGAGAACATATCAATCGACATTATTGGAAATAGTAATCAAGATTAATGTCCAGTAGAGGACCTCTGAATCCAAAGCCATGCTGGAGAAGCAAAGGCAAGTGATGTAGCCATGTAAGTTTCACACTTTCACTCTTATCGATCTGATATAGGCAGTAATCAAATCAATGGCCAAAGCGACAGCAACAGTAGCCTGATATGTATAGATGGCAAAAGAGGAGATTCCATAGATATCTTCCCGCCTGCCACAGAATTAGTATGACCTTCCACCAACGTTGGATTTTGTCACTAAGATACTTGCATTCCCCCAGAAACAAACACTATAAGACAATAGGTACAGTTGTTAAAAGTTAGCATTGTTTTTTAGATTTGGTCACAAATTCTCGCACAAAACTTGGCCAAAGTGACTTGTGATTTGAGAGATGTGTACATTTATTCCTTTTGCACATTATGCGCATTAATCAAGTTGTTTAATGTGAACACACAGATCGAATATTAGTTGTAAACAGAAATAAAGATTTTATACACGAAGGATGGCTAAGTTCTAGTACAATAATTAAGAATAGTCTTGCCTGCCACTTCATGATAACAACTTGCACTACCACAATTCATAGCTTCTTGCTAGCTTTCAAAGTTGAGAGAGAAGTTGGATTGATTCCCGGCGTGGAACGCATAGGGCCTCCAAATGGTTAACCTTCTTCATAGTGATTCTGTCATTGAAGTCAGTGTCCAATTCGCCATCCTGTTCGACTTTATTATTAACATAACACTCTAAGAGCCAAAGGCGTTACTGTTCATTTGCTTTTTCGTCGTCGGTATCACGTGCCAAAAGCGTGTCTTATTGTTAACATAACGTATTTTTTATTATTACAAGGCCACCCGGCCTACTTCGTTAGCTGGTTTATTTTTTATCTCCTTTATTTGTCCTCTTTTTCCTCTTTTGTGTATCGTCTTCGCATCTCAATGGCCTGGGAAAAACTTTTCCTGATTCATTTCCTTAATGGAGTTTCGTCTCTTCCGGTCATTTTCCCTATGCTTTACCATTTTTTCGTTTTGCCCCTTTGACTCCATCTCCTTTCAATTGAACTCTCTTTTGTCCGCTGGATTTCTTCTCGCTGCTGTGTTGCCTTCTCTTGGCTGATTTCACGTATCTTCTTCCGGTGACTTGTGTTTTGAGCTGGCCTCGCGAAAAGATTTCCTCGGGAGAACTTTTCCAGACTGCTTTCCTTAACGGAGTTTCATCTTGGTCGATTTCGCCGGTCTTCAGGTGACTTCTTATGATTATTTTTACGCATTTTCTGGTCATTTTTCCTATGCTTTACCAATTTTCGTTTTGCACGTTTCATTGCGTCTTCTTTCGATTGCGGTTTTGGGTCAGCCATTGCCTCTCTTTTGCCCGCTGGATTTCTCACTACTGGGTTGCCTTCTCTTGGTCGATTTCACCAATCTTCAGGCGACTTATGTTTTGAGCTGGCCTCAGGAAAACTTTTCCAAAATCCTTTCCCCAGCGGAGTTTCGTCTTGGTCGATTTTGCCGGTCTTCAGGTGATTTTGACCCTTTTTTAATTTCGTTTCTTCTTCTCACTTTCGGCTGTCAAGATAGAGATACTGATTTTATTGCATTCTACTTTTATGTTTTATTACTGAATCTGGATTTTTGGTTGTTCCCTTCTTTTTCCCTTTTGAATCTTTGATTTTTTTGCTTCCCCAATCTGTGTTCTTCACTGTTCCCCCTTTTTTTTTTGGCCCTTGTTTATTTATTTCATTTCCTCTTTTTTCCTGTGCTTTTCCTTGTTCCTTTCTTATTTTTGTTTATTTATTTCGTTTCCTCTTTTCAGCTGTGAAGATGGAGATACTAATTTTATTGCCTTCCACTTTTACGCTTTATTGCTGGATCTGTGTTTTTTCCTTGTTCCCTTTTCTTGGTTCTTGCTTGTAAATATCGTTTTTCGTTTGCTCTCTTATGGCTTTGGTCCTTATGATTTTGTTAAAGCTAATAAAGTAACGAAATTTTTTAAATTAATTCAACCATCACCTCTAATAAAGTTATGGTTGTTAAAGCTAATAAAGTAACGAAATTTTTTAAATTAATTCAACCATCACCTCTAATAAAGTTATGGTCTTAAAATTAGCTCACGTGGTTCTATAGCACTGGTCTTGTAAGAGATGCATTTGCCACGTGATAACCACGACGAAAAACAAATGAACAGTAACGAAAAACCCATTAAAGACGGTCTTAGATTATGGTCTTAAATTTTATAGCACTGGTTTTTCATGGCTCTATTTGAAAGCCACTTAAAACCCATTAAAGATGCCTGCTTTGCAGACGTTGTTCATGGGATTAGTATATATTTGAAGTATTTATCAAGATGTGAAAGAATTCATTTCTCTTTTGTATGAGGTGTGCTTGATTTTTTATAACTCCGTATGTTTATTGCTGCCTATTCACTGAAAAAGGAAATATATGGTACCTTAGTCGTTCTAAGTATGTCTTCAACTATGGTGAATTAAATGCTGTAGGTTTTCTCCTGTGACTTTTCCTTTCCTTTGCTTTTTCTTTGTTATTTGTTCTCTTACATACTGTACTTTGTTGATGTTGTTCTTGGCGTTTTTATGATTTAGGTTATTTTACTGAATTTTCATCCTAGCCTTGTGCATTCGTCTTTGGAATCTACGGCAAAGGTTCGTTTTGTGTTTTTTCCCTTCTTTTGGAATCACCTTTGGAGGTTTTTCATGTTCCTTGTTGATTTGCTTAATATAGAGTTTTTCAGTTTAGGATTTGTTTAGTTGATTTGCAATTTTAAGCTTTTATATTGTACTAAAGTGTTTTGGTTTGGGCTGTCTTTTCTGCCTTTCTTAGCAACGGTCTGTTTATGACCTTTTTTTTTTCTCCAAAGGTCACCTTGTTTGTTGGTTCCTGGCAGTTTAACCTGTGTTTTTTGGTTTGGTAGGAGTTGAGTTTGGGATGATAAAAAAAAGTTAGGAGTTTATCATCCCACTACATACGTTTATCATGAAAATGAGATAATGTTTGGTAGTCATCATCATCTAGCATTGGGACTACCAAACAGATTTCGAGGATTTATCATGAACGAAGAGGCTTTTCTTTGATTTTCCCAGATTTATAACATGTTTTTGGGACTTTGGTTTTGGGCTTTTCTTTGTTTTTTCCGAATTTATTCTCCTTCGCTATCCTTCATACTCCGTTCAAATCAGATTATTTTTTTATATTGTTGTTCCTTATTTTTCTTACCCTTTTCAAATCGAGTGACTTTTTTTGATGTGGTTGTTCTTCATCTTTTAAAAAATATATATCTACAAGATCTTCCTTTGTCCCCTTTATTTATTTTCCTATGTGCGTATCTTTTTTTTTCCTTTTTAAAATGCATAGAAGCCCTTTGAATGGGACCTGCGAAAGTATTGATGCATTTCTAAAGGACATTTGAAAGATTTATTTCTATGCAGTAATCTGAACAATATGAGGTGAACAGAAAATTTCCAATATGAAGTGCTTATTTTTTCCTGTACTTCATCTTTTTTTTATTTTTTTGTTGGCCAATGCCATTTTTGGGTTTGCTGGAAGTCTTTGAATATGATGGCAAGGCTTCTCTGGATGTACTCTGTTTCTGTAACCTCTCTCTCAGGTAATTTCCTCACCAAACTAGAGATACAAGGAAGGTCACCTAAAATTGGGAAGATTTTGTTCTTATTTTCTTTGTATTTTTGGAGAACAATTTGGTTAGGATTAATGATAGGTAATGGCCCGTTGTAGAAATTTGAAGCATTTTTTTAAAAAAATTTCAGCTTTTTGTCAAATATGTTTTTCAGAGCTTTGTTGAGTTTCAACGTTTTTGCGCTACCTATGTCTTGTTTGTACTATTTTTTTGAAGTTGTAGGTGTAATATAGTGTTTATACTTGTTACTAGCAGTTGGAAGCTGCAAATAAATGATTATTAGTTGGAAGCTGCAAATAAATGATTATACTATAATTTCCTACCAATTACGAAAGTCAAATGCTTTACTTTGCTAGCTTGCAGAAGTTGATCCTTTTGCTTAAAATTATTAAACTTGCATACTGTATAAAGAAAAAGCCTTTTGTTTGATACGTTTTCTGACATCGTTTTTCAATTAGTACTGCTTTTCTTTTTTTTATTTTGTTTCTCACTTTCTTCATGAGTCATGACATGAATTTGTTGTTTGTTGATTCAGACTTATATAGGAAAGGCTTGTCAGGGGCATCCACTCAGCTCTCCTACTTTTCCTCCAAAAGGTGCCCGAAGTTTATTTTCCTGCTGATACCTTCTTATCTTGGTGATCATTTTGATGGGTTTAAAAAATAGATAAAGTAAAATAACTTTTGCATATGAAGTCTATCTTTTTAGGCTTTAGCTCCTTGCCAGGATCAGTTAAAACTAATACATATATTTGTTTAGTGTTTGAATACTTCAAACATCATGTTTATTTAATGTGACAGTTGCATGTTTTTCCCCATATTTTGGGGTTTTCTGTTCACTAAAAAATTATAAAGCACCCAAGTGTGCAAGTTTATTGCCATATTTTGGCCTTGTACCTCCCTCCTGGAGTATTTTAACATTACGTGCATTGTCCTTAATGTAACAATCACTTGACCCTTTTTCCCCCATGTGATTCTTTGAATTAGATGAGTTCTTTTAGGTATAGCTCTTTTACTGAAATTTTTTGAGTTTGATAGTTTTTACATTTGCCTAGGATTGTGTTATTCCTGCTTGAGAGTACCTACTTTTTGCTCTTTCTGCAGTAGAAAATATCAGTTTTTTTGCTTCATTAGTTCATTATGAACACAAGTCATTTTTTGTATGGAAGGAAGAAGAAAATCCAAGTCAGATGTCAGAGAAAGATTTGGCTCTCATGCAGGCAATGTATTAGATCACTGCATCTTTTGGAAAAGGTTCTATCATGTGGATTGGCTGCTTTGCCCCTGTTAAACAAGTTTCAGTTGTGTCTACAGGTTCATTTGCACTTGGGATTGGAGGATTTCCAAAGGTTGGCCATCTTATGTGTTTCTTATGCTGCAATGCCAGATGTTGATTTTGAATTATTGTTTCAAGTGCACTAAACATCTGCAAATATCTAAAGAATCATATTGACATCGTTTTAGAGTGCAAATATACCACTGAAAGGACTTTTCTCTATCTAATTGGGATTTCAACTAAGAGCTGCTGTAATTATTCTTGATTTGAATATTTCCATTCTGATTAATCAGCATTTGCAATTTCCAGATTGTATAGCAAAAGAAAAGCTTTGCCTTGTTCTTGAAAACCTTCACTAAAATGGAAGCTTTTAAATTACTTTGTATCGCTATTGGTTTCTGTTAACCTTATTACTTTGTATCACTATTGGATCTGTTTGATGTAATTGGAGTAGTGCCTTTTGGCATCAGGCAATATTAGTAGTTCCATGTCCATGGGAGATGTTACCATCCCCAAGCAATTCACTCAGACTGGCTTATGGGATTGGCTCATAACTTCCACTTCGTGCTTTTAACATGAATACATGAAACTTTGTTATACACCTATTTTCGACTGATTTACATGAATCTTTTTTCTGAGCAGAAACTTAATGCGACAATCCCGACAGGTGATTTTACTAAATTGGATTTTGAAGCCTACAATGGGCCTTCCAGAGGATATAGCGTTCTTTTCAAAGTAAAGAAAGCCTAATACTGCTTAAAGAAAGCTTTGGTTTCACGTAAGCAAGAATTAGTGTACACTCATCTTGAGGTATAGGACTCGATACAGTTCCTTCTCTTCTGTATTTTTCCTTTTCTTTCTCAATTGAAGATTAGTAAGTATAGGACTTGTTTATGATTAGTTGCATTTGTTCTGTGTTTCCGAAGCCTGAAAAACCTTAGCAATTACTAAGTGTCAAATATTAAGTTTCGATTATTATAGCATAGAAAATTTCCCTATAGAGGCTTCTATACAAACCTTGGTTTTGCCTTTATAGGTACACAAATATTCCTTCATGATTTTATAGTTTCTTAATACTTCTTATCTTATGCTAAAGGAAGAATTGAGCTATTAAACCTTAAACTTTTCAGTGAAAATATTTTAAATTTTAGATCTAGAAAACACATTCTTAGATGAGAATATCTCAAGCTACTCTGGGGATAAAAGCAACTATGCAATCTGGCTTACATGTCAATGCCTCTGACTTTTGGAATGGAGTATTGTTTTAACATAATAAAAGATGCCCTCCCTATGATGAATAAGTTTCCACTTTGTTTGTGCATTTTAGGATCATTCCATTGACCTTGTGTTCAGCCCCTTCCCTGCTCCCCCTCCAAAAAAAATTATAAGACAATTGAATGAGTTTAATGTTGGGATATTTTGGAGTTAGAACTTGTTGAATTTATCGTTCGGATTAGGATCATTTGCTGCCAGTTAACCTATTTCCAATTTCTTCCTTTGGGTGATATCCGTGGATGGCCATACTGCAATAGATTGCATTCTGAATTCTTTTAATTTCAATTTTTTGGAAATAGCAAAGTAGCCAATTTATCTGCTTTGGTGGAATTATGAGTTACCATGCAAGTTGCTCTAACTTTACAACTTACAGATGCTTAGATCTCTTTTCTTTGATACTTAATAATAGACAAAATATATGTCATGCTCCTCTTAAGAGGGGAAAAGGTGGGTTAAGATTTTGTATGAATATTACAAGTTTTAAAGTTGTCGAGTTTATCTTGTTTGTTTTGGGATCAATCAATGTCTCCTGACCCCTTTCCTGTTTCTATGTATTGGTGCCGAGGTCTATTGCTAACTGCAATGGAATATGTACTAAGATTTTATTGTTATAATTTCATGATTAGGTTGTCGCGGGAGAACTTAGCAAATCTTGCCATGGGTGGCAGCAGAAACAAAATTACTTTTGGACAGGGGAAAGATGCATTGTGCGTTTCAAGCTCCATGCATTGTACAAATCATTTTATTAAACTGAGCATCTCCATTTTTTTTCCCTTCCACACTAATGCGCGGTTTATGCATTAAACTAGGGAACTAGGGTAAGTAGGGTCATGGGATAGAAAAGAAATCATGTATCCGTGAATCATACATTTCACATCTAATATATTAGTAGTTCTGCAAATTTCAAATTCTCTTGTTATATCTGTAACACATTTCCTTTTCTAAAACAAGAGAGATAACTCGGTTACCGAATTATCTTGTTACATTTGTCCCACAGTTTTGTGTTGTTAATCAGTACGTACAACTTCAATATTAATTTCTATCTATAATTACTGATCAGCAATCCGAACTACTATTTACAAAATTTTAATGCTTCTATGGGCATTCATGTTTTGTACTCCGCGGTTTATCTCTCCTAGTCCCAATCAAAGCACTGGATGAATGTACCAACTGCCAATGAAACACTCCGAATGCCTAGATTGGCTCCGGGACAAGCTCTCCTCCCTATCCCAAATGGTAAAAACTTGGAATTGAACTCTTCTTTATCCATTAATCCCTTCCCTTCGAATCTTTCTGGCATGAATTTCTCAGGCTCCTCCCAGAGTTTTGGATCCCTATGCACGGCCCAGGCATTAGCTAAAACAATCGTACCTTTTGGAATATCATACCCCCCGACTCGGCAGTCTTCAGATGCCTGATGAGGTAGCAGAAGTGGTGCCGCGGGGTACAGTCTCAATGTCTCATTGACAACACAACGAAGATAGGGAAGCTTTGGAATATCAGATTCATCCACCAGCCTTCCATGTCCTACGCTGTTGTCAATCTCAGTCCTTAGTTTCTGTAGTGCCTTCGGGTGATTCAGTAAAAGCAACATAGCCCATTCAGTGGTCAGTGTGGATGTTTCTCTTCCTGCTGTAAATATTATCTGAATCAAGGGTTGCTTTTGTTAGACAAAATAAACATGGTTAAAATTAGGGTGGGAAAGAATCCCAGAACGGTTGCTTTTAAATGCTCTGTCCAACAGGATCATCCTTCTGAAAAAGCTTTACTAAGTACAAACAAGGGAAAGGATGATGAAAAATGACAACCAATGAGCTCAAATGCAACAAGGCTGAAGCTATTATCATTTCAAAAGATTGTTTTGATGAAATTAATGGTGCTTGTTTTCAGGAATTTTCCTAATTAAATCTTCTACTCAAATCTTATCCACTAGCATGACAAATAATAAGCATGAAGTATCAGATTTTGACCTCGATTACTACTCTTATCTTAGTATCAGAATCCAAAGTTTATTAAGCAGGACTTTTGTAGGAAGGCCGGTTGGAGGAATGCTAACCCCACATAAGTCTATTTTGTCTTCATTATCAGAATCAAAATAAGACAAGGAAAGGAAAGAATTCACAAGCTCCATAACTTTGCTGTCACCTATAATGGATTCTAGCTTCTCTTTAAGAAGAATCGATTGATCAAGAGTTTTCTATGATCGGGTTAGATCAAGTCTATATAAACCATCAACCTATACTCTTGAAATGACATCAGAATAAAATTCTTTTAACACTCGTTCTAAGTACAAAAGAGTTCTTTAACAAGATATTCTTCTTAAGAATTGCTTGATTCATCATTCTACCATGACATGTTATTACAAGTTTGTCTGATTCTTTAGGGATAACTCCAATATAATTATAAGGGAAATTTTCACCACAGGTCCACAACACAATATATGTTGATATATGTCTTTAGGATAGTTTTGAATGGGTAATATATTTACACGAAGAGGTGATAATTGATATCCGCCACTTTCTACTAGTTAGCTCCCACAGGCAAAAGAATCAATTGCTAAAGGTTCATATAGAGCTGTTACTGTTGCCTCGCTGTAGCTTAATGAATTCAATTGAAAACCATCATATTAGCTTTATATTGCTGAAGAAAGCAATTGAGCAAGTGAAACAAGTTCCGCAAAATAATGAGTTCATAACAAGTGTAAATGCAGATAAAGCGGAAAAAAATAAGTATATTCTGCCAGTTCAAATTTCACTGCCTTGGCAAAGTACTGAAGTGGGATAAGTTCATGGAGTAAGAAAAACAGAGAGAAATTGCATATTGCACTAACCAATGCAATACTCTTTATGATGTCATCTGATAGAAAATCTGATTCTTTTTCCTTGCGGGAAAGCAGATTTGCAATCACTGCCTTCTCCCCCTTGTCCAGCAGAGTATCTGAACATTGAAATTCGTCTATGAAACCCTGCAAGAATTTATCTCTCTTCTTGTGCAAAGAGATCATTTCCTTTTCCAGTCCCTTGTAGCCAATCCATCTTAATATAGGGACGAAGTCACACAAATTCAGCGCAATGCCTCCGCCTGAAGCAAAATTTTCCCTGAATTCTTTAATTATTTGCATCCCCAACTCCTCTCCAGCATCCTCTTCTCTGATACAGCGTCTTCCAACAAGCATCCTCATGATAACATTGAGCGTAAAAACAGAAATCCAACGGTTCAAATCAACTCTTATTAGGCTTCCATGCTTTGAAACTCTGTATATTGACCTGAGAATCAGCTTAATTTCTTCTTCCCTGATAACTGAAGTCCTCTGGAGGCTGTTGAAGGAGAAAGATTCAACGACAAGGAGGCGACGAAGATCCCTCCACATGTGGCCATATGGGACTACCCCAACGGCTCTATAGTTATAGGAAAGCCTGTCCCCACCCATGCTCCGAGGACGGTTTGCAAGTATGATATCATTCCTGGTGAAGCACTCTTCAATGGCGGATGGAGATGACACAACAACAAAGGAACGGCAGCCGAATTGGAGAAAGAAAATCGGACCATATCTTGATGATAATGAAGTCAAGTCTTCGTAGAGTGAGTTCTTGATAAGGTAAAGATGGCCAATTATTGGCAAAGCAAGTGGACTTGGTGGTAACTTCTTGTTCTTGACATGGTTGAATAGCAAGTTTTTGGAGATGAGAAGTAAAGGTAAAGAACACAATGAGATGGTGACGAGGTAGTAGCAGAGATTTTCCATGGCCTAAAGCTGAAAGTCACACGAGACTTCTTAGTTAACTTCTGCTATATTTGTCCCCTCTTGCATTGATAATGTGCAATTATTCATGTGCTGAAAAGTCAAACTGATAATGCCAAAGTCATTGTTTATTGGATAATGCGTAATAATTCGTGAAACGTGAAATTCATGACGAAATTGTGGGAGGAACTTTGTCGTCTATGAGCTCACTAATTGAGATGAACTAGGAGGTATAACTGCCGAGTTGCGCGGTGGAATAGCCAGCATGTATGCCTATTTAGGCATGATTAAGTAGGCATTACATGGATAGTCATAATGTCATTGGAATAAATATCTTGGGTTACTTGCATGTGTTTTATTTATTGAGATTTATATACCTTGTAATTTAATCATTAAGATATTTAAGAATATTTAGAAGAAAATTTAAAAATAGCTTTCAATCCAAAAGCACAATTGTAAGACAGCTTATTAGATAGACAATATAGATTAGGAGGATGAGGTAAGCAAGTAACTGAACTAAAAATTAATATCAAAAGAAAAAACAATACAAAAGGTAATACAAAAATGTAGCTGAACAATATAAAATCCAAGTTCATGATAGAGCGAATAAGGAAGAAAAATGTGAAACTCAACAAAAGGTTAAATCAAATGAAGCTATTTAGAAATATGAAACCAGTGATCGGTACATTGCTTCGGCCAACAACAATTGCATCAATAATTTAGACTTTTAGTAACATAATACTTGAATTCTTAATGTGTGATGCCAGGGTACATAATCTCTATTCCATTGGCTCCAAAGATCAGAATAGCTAATGATTTTCTTGCTTCTTACAGATCACTTGATTAAGCATATAGGATCATAGAAATCAATTTATATGCATTAATTAATAAGCAGAAAAATATTACTCAAGTCTGAAAGTTAGGTGCTCTGGTAGATAAAAGGAGAAGGTAATAAGGAAATATACCAAATAACAATAAATATCCAGAAGCCACATGGTCCAAAACCTGTTGGTGCTATCAATGCAGAATATCTCAACTATGTTAACAGAAGCATGTGTTTGAAGCAAAAACATCAAAATGCAACTCTAGGCATACACATAAGCCAATGAATGCATAAGTTGTACATCTGTCTGAATTTGTCTAATCTTGACATAATCCAAAATATTTCCTACTACATCAATGTAGCTTCAAGGAGTACCATGGATAAAGAAAGATCAGACAAGTCTTTTTTTTTTTTTTTTTTTTTGGCATTGCCAGATTTATCAACTTCTATAGATTCCCTTCCTATCTCTGTAGCATCTCTAAACCTTGCTGTGAGGCGAACTTGTAATCGTGAAGAAGATCGTTCTCCCTCTGAAATAAAAAAGCGTGCCATGTTAATAAATTGGATAAGTAAAGATTCAAGGGGGACGGAAAAATTAATGTAAAAAATGACCTGATGCATGAGTTTGAGCTAGTGTTACAAACGAACCGAACTGCTCGTGAGCGGCTCGAGTCAAGCTCGATTAGAGCTCGATTAATATTGAGTTCGAGCTGGCTCGAGTCGAAATCGAGCTCGAACTCGAATTCAAAATATTAAACTCGCGCGAGCTCGAGTATATATATAATTTTTTTTTATTTTAAGTGTATATATATTTTTTTATTTTTTATTTTAAGTATATATATTTTTTATTTTTTTAATTTTAATAGTAAAATTACATATATATATCCTTAATATTTTATTATTTACTAAAAAATATTATTTTATTTATTTTTTAAAAAATAAAATAATTATTTTTTTTCGAGCTCGAGCTCGAGGTTGAAATTGTCAGCTCGTCGAGCTCGAATTTGAGTTCGAGTTCAATGAAATTATGTCGAGACTCGGCTCGATTAGGCCAAAACTCAACTCGGCTCGACTCTACTCGGCTCGTTTTCAGCCCTTTGAGCATTCTATTCTTCAGCCTGGACAAGTTCATTGTTGGCACTGATGTGGAAATCTTTGTTGCCAGAAGACGTTGCCGTGCTTTCTCCAAAGTAATAAGCAACCGTGTAATGGTTATATCCATTACCATCTCTGATATTTCCTGATTTCAGTTGTACAATGAACTTTTCAAGCTCTTTATGCACCTTTTCAAGCGGCAATTGTTCATTCTATAAGTAAAACCATAAACTTGAATTAGTACGCATAGTCTATATATGATTCCGACAAACTTGTTCACACAGATAGAGACACATGGCAATGGTGACTTATCAATTTTCCTAGAGGGCATGTAAAAAGGTTACACAAAACACCAGCCAAGGAAATCTCTTGTAATCAGCAGGAAAAAAAATCAAATAAAAAGACTCAATCTTTCAAGGTAAAAACCATAACGAGAAGGAAAGGCAAAGCATATACATTTTTTGACTATACAAAACTCCATCGTCTGACAAGCTGAAATGCAAACTCAATGACAGGCACACAAGTACCAAAAAGAAACCAAAAGAAATAGCCAAGGAAAAATTGTAAGAGAAGCTGCAATTCTTACAAAAGCTCAACCAAGCTCAAGATCCAAGCAATTAAAAATTTTTCTGCCTAGGAAAAAATCTAAAAGCTTAACACATCAACAGACGCATAACAGGAGAGACCGACAACAGCACCGAGCAAAGACACAGTCGCAACCTATATCTAGCAATAGTTTCATAAGCACACCGGTACCAGAAACAATTCTTAGGAAGACTCAACCATTTCAAGAAAAATAAAAGCAAAGACCCAGAACAACACCAAGCAAAGAAAAAGCCACAAACCAGTAAGATTAATCAAAGCCAATGCATAAAGGAATCGTAATCAGAGCTCGCAAGTATAGGATCCCTAAAAGGGCCGAGTACTCAGTGAAACAGGAGGAAAGAAACGAAGAAGTTTAAGCCAAGGTTGTAAGCAACTCGGATAGAGAAGATAGTGAGAGGGAGAAGCTCGAAAAGGGGAAAAATTGACGCATAATTGAGATGCCATCTCCAAAAATTTACACCCCATTGATAGAGGTGAACACTGCAAATTGCACCAATCATCATTTAGGAAGATGCTTCTAATAGATTCAGGCGTAGCAGCAGAAAGAGCTGAAAGAGGAAAGGAAATCACAGGCGCATATCTCGTCCCCCTGAAGACGGGCCAGTCAGACAATCTGTTTACCCGTATAAAGTAATAATGATGGACCACCCACATGATCCGCCTGCTTTAAAGAGACAAGTGCAAGTCACGTGACGACGACGAAAAGTTTGAAACCTCTTGGTGCATTGTATGTTATGTTGACAATTGGCAAGAATTATACATTGAAATATAAATATAATAAAGCTAGAGGAGTGGCGTTGGTGTAAATTTTTTTTTTTTTTCCTTGCTAATTTTGAACTTTCTTTTATATCCTTATAAAATCTAATTTTTACCTTAATTACCTAATCATATTTTACCTACATAATTACTCATAATGGCCTTAAGTATTTTAAGTACCACATTACTATAGACTTATAAATCAGAGTTCTTTAATTTATATAAATTGTATGTATGTGAAAAATAAAATTCATATAATATTAATTTATGTTAATTATTTTTAAATTACACATAGATTAAGTATGCCTTTAACGCTTGTCTCCAATAACTGGGACATCAATCAATAGCAGAATAAAGGAGTTTTCCGCTATTGATTTACCAAAAGAGACATTGCCCGTTCCATGGTTTCTTCTGAAGTACTTGTTCCGGCCGTGACCAATGCCTAAACAAAATTTATAAAGAAGAAACACTTGGTCGAAGGAATGAGGATAAATGTTAGAATCTCTGATCTAATGAACCGTTAGGCTTCTTTGGAATTTAGTCTAATTGAAGATTGTTTTTTTTTTTTTCAATTTAGTTTGCTGGAATAATTGAATGACTTTAACCCTATAATAATGATTCCAAAATGATGGGGATTAATATTTTTAATTTGAATTTGAACATTAAATTTTGGATATGTGACGTGCATTTAAACCCACTAATATAGGCACTGTTAGGAGATAAAAGATTTATCCAAACAATTGAAAGAAAACAAGAGAATAGATGTGGTTGTTGGCATCATCTAACTTGAAAAAATTAAGGAACGTTCCAATAGTTACAGCGATGATCTTCTTGTTTCGCTTGTGAAGCAGATAGATACTAGAAGTCTTACCAGTACGATTCCTTTGACAATATCCAGGGTGTAGAACTCAGGGTCAGATTCTTGCAAAGACAATAATGATTGGATTATGGTCTTGCTCTGATCAGGTGATGAGGCTGAACCACTTCAGTTCTTCAACTTTCCTCACTCAGATCGTGCATGAAATCATCAAACTTCCCCTGGTAATTCTTCAACATCTTCCTATACGTTTTCCCAAGACCAAGCCACCTCATTATTGGCACATATTGACAAATGTCCGCGGGCAACTTTGCCGAGAACATATCAATCGACATTATTGGAAATAGTAATCAAGATTAATGTCCAGTAGAGGACCTCTGAATCCAAAGCCATGCTGGAGAAGCAAAGGCAAGTGATGTAGCTATGTAAGTTTCACACTTTCACTCTTATCGATCTGACATAGGCAGTAATCAAATCAATGGCCAAAGCGACAGCAACAGTAGCCTGATATGTATAGATGGCAAAAGAGGAGATTCCATAGATATCTTCCCGCCTGCCACAGAATTAGTATGACCTTCCACCAACGTTGGATTTTGTCACTAAGATACTTGCATTCCCCCAGAAACAAACACTATAAGACAATAGATACAGTTGTTAAAAGTTAGCATTGTTTTTTAGATTTGGTCACAAATTCTCGCACAAAACTTGGCCAAAGTGACTTGTGATTTGAGAGATGTGTACATTTATTCCTTTTGCACATTATGCGCATTAATCAAGTTGTTTAATGTGAACACACAGATCGAATATTAGTTGTAAACAGAAATAAAGATTTTATACACGAAGGATGGCTAAGTTCTAGTACAATAATTAAGAATAGTCTTGCCTGCCACTTCATGATAACGACATGATAGCTTCTGCTACCACAATTCACTGCTTCTAGTTGGCTTTCAAAGTTGAGAGAGAAGTTGGATTGATTCCTGGCGTGGAGCGCATAGGGCCTCCAAATGGTTAGCCTTCTTCAGACTGATTCTGTTGCTAAAGTTAACGTCCAATTCACCATCCTCTTCAACTTTATCCCAATCAAAACACTGGATGAATGTACCCACTGCCAATGAGACATTCCGAATGCCTAGATTGGCTCCGGGACAAGCTCTCCTCCCTATCCCAAATGGTAAAAACTTGGAATTGAACTCTTCGTTATCCATTAATCCCTTCGCTTCGAATCTTTCTGGCATGAATTTCTCGGGCTGCTCCCAGAGTTTTGGATCCCTATGTACGGCCCAGGCATTAGCTAAAACAATTGTACCTTTTGGAATATCATACCCCCCGACTCGGCAGTCTTCAGATGCATGATGAGGTATCAGAAGTGGTGCCGCGGGGTACAGTCTCAATGTCTCATTGACAACACAACGAAGATAGGGAAGCTTTGGAATATCAGATTCATCCACCAGCCTTCCATGTCCTACGCTGTTGTCAATCTCAGTCCTTAGTTTCTGTAGTGCCTTCGGGTGATTCAGTAAAAGCAACATAGCCCATTCAGTGGTCAGTGTGGACGTTTCTCTTCCTGCTGTAAGCATTATCTGAATCAACGGTTGCTTTTGTTAGTCAAAATAAATATGGCTAAAATTAGGGTCGGAAAGAATCCCAGAAAGGTTGCTTTTAAATACGTTGTCCAACAGGATCATCCTTCTGAAAAGCTTTGCCAAGCACAAGCAAGGGAAAGGATGATGGCAAATGACAACCAATGCGCTCAAATGCATCAAAGCTGAAGCCATTATCATTTCATAAGATTGATTGTGAAATTAAGGGTGGTTGTTTTCAGGAATTTTGCTAATTAAAATTTCATGCTAGAAACCTTATCCACTAGCATAACACATAACAAAACTAAGCATAAAGTATCAGATTACTAATCTTATCTTAGTATCAGAATCCAAAGTATGGCATAACGACTCTATGCTATATACGGATACAACTTATTAAACTCATGATCCAAGTCAGTTGATGCTAAATTAAGCAGGACTTTTGTAAGAAGGCCGGTTGGAGGAACACTAACTCCACATGAGTCTATTTCTAATTCATTATCATAATCAGAATGAGCCAAGAGAAAATAAAGGAATTCACAAGCTCCAAAACTTCGTTATCACCTATAACGGATCCTAGCTTCTCTTTAAGAAGAATCGATTGATAAACAGTTTTCAACGATCTGGTTAGATCAAGTCTATTTAAACTATCAACCTTTACTCTTGAAATAACATCAAAATAAAATTCTTTTAACACTTATTCCGATTCCAAAAGAGTTCTTTAACAAGATGTTCTTCATAAGAATAGCTTTATTTGTCACTCTACCAGGACATGTTAATACAAGTTTGCCTGATTCTTCCGGGGTCAGTCCAATATAATTTTAGGAGTAATTTTCGCCCCACTACAATATATGTTGACATGTATCTTTGGGATAGTTTTGAATAGGTAATATATTCACACGAAGAGGCCATAATTGATGTGTGCCGCCTTCTATTAGTTAGCTCCCACGGGCAAAGAATCAATTTCTAAAGGTTCATATAGAGCTCTTACTGTTGCCTCACAGGATCGTAATGAACTTAATTGATAACCATATTAACTTTATATTGCTGAAGATAGCAATTGTGAAAGTGAAACAAGTTAAATGTAGATTGGTGGTGGGCAAAAAGTATATTCTGATAAGTGGGATAAGCTCATGAAGTAAGAAAGACGGAGAAATTACATTTTGCACTTACCAACGCAATACCCTTTATGATGTCATCTGATAGAAAATCTGATTCTTTTTCCTTAGAAGCAAGCAGATTTGCAATCAATGCCTTCTTCTCCTTGTCCAGCAGAGTATCTGAAGATTGAAATTCGTCTATGAAACCCTGAAAGAGTTTATCTCTCTTCTTGTGCAAAGAGATCATTTTTTTTTCCAGTCCCTTGTAGCCAATCCATCTTAATATAGGAAAGAAGTCACACAAATTCTGCGCAATGCCTGAAGCAAACATTTCCCTGAATTCTTTAATTATTTGCATCCCCAACTCCTCTCCAGCATCCTCCTCTCTGATGGAGCATCGTCCAACAAGCATCCTCATGATAACATTGAGTGTAAAAACTGAAATCCAATAGTTCAAATCAACTCTTATTAGGCTTCCATTCTTTGAAACTCTGTAAATTGACCTGAGAATCATCTTAATTTCTTCTTCCCTGATAAATGAAGTCCTCTGGAGGCTGTTGAAAGAGAAAGATTCAACGACCAAGAGGCGACGAAGAACCCTCCACAAGTGGCCATATGGGGCTATCCCAACGACTGTATAGTTATAGGAAAACCTGTCCCCTGCCATGCCACGAGGACGGTTTGCAAGTATGATATCATTCCTGGTGAAGCACTCTTCAATGGTGGATGGAGATGACACAACAACAAAGGAACGGCGGCCGAATTGGAGAAAGAAAATTGGACCATATCTTGATGATAATGAAGTCAAGTCTTCGTAGAGTGAGTTCTTGATAAGGTAAAGATGGCCAATTATTGGCAAAGCAAGTGGACTTGGTGGTAACTTCTTGTTCTTGACATGGTTAAATAGCAAGCTTTTGGAGATGAGAAGTAAAGGTAAAGAACACAATAAGATGGTGACGAGGTAGTAGCAGAGATTCTCCATGGCCTAAAGCTGAAAATCACACAGAGACTTCTTAGTTAACTCCTGCTATTTTTGTCCCCTATTGCATTGAACAGAGGTATGTGCTAAAAGGTCAAACTGATAAGGCCAAAGTTATTGGTTATTGGATAATGTTAATTATTCATGAAACAGGAAATTCATGAGCTAATTGTGGAAGGAACTTTGTCATTTTTGATGTATATAAGCTCACCAATTCAGATAAGCAATTGGCAAGAATTACACATTGAAATATCTCAAATAATTGTCGACATCAATCAATTGCAGAAAAAAGGTGTTTTAAAATTAAAAGCTTGCAGATTTTGACTCTAGAGCATGGAAGAGTCAAAGTCACCGGTAGTTTTCCACTAACATGCCAAGAAGAACTTTCAATACACGGATTAGTATGGAAAATGAGGAGAATTTAGTAGTTTGCACCTTTGTGTATGTTGGTTCTTTAGGAAAAAAAGAGTTGTAAAACGAAAAATCATTGAAAAGTCCATCATATTTCACCAAGAATTTTGTTGTCCTTCATTTTTAAAATGATAACTTTACATCACTTACAAAATCAAGTCGATAAAATTTGATCTTATTCTAAGTTTTCAAGTACTTTTTACTCTAAAACCATCACATAATCTATACATGATCATTTTTTTGGGACAAAAATATTGGATTTCATTTATAGTTAAACAAATAACCAGATTTATATTCATTTTTATTCCAAAAAAGTAAGATCTTATCCGACCTATATTGATTTTTTTCCTAAAAAAAATAGATTCTGACCTAATCTATATTCATTTTGCCACTAAAAAGGTGGGATCTAACTTTTTTACATATAAACAATGACTACATATCAGTCATGTAGTAATTTCAGGTTAAAAAATGGTCAAAATTTTAGGTCGAGACTAAATTTTATTAATTTAAATTTATAAGAGATATAAAGTTAATATTTTAAAAATAAAAAATAAAAAAAATTATTTGATAAAATGCGAGGTACGTTTAAAATGATTTTTCGGTTGCAAAATTCCTCGTCGGATAAATTTTTGAGGAAAACAGTGCGTTGCGCACTAAATTTTCTTTCACTCTGAGTAACCGAGAACCTTTTACTGTAGAATCACGAGCAGGTATTTTTCTGCCCTTTTCCATGTACCTTTTCTTCTTGTTTTTCGTTTTGGGTCAGAGACTCAGAAGCAGACGATAAGACCCGTTCGACGGCCCTACCCGTAGAAAGTGGGTTGTCATGCCGCTGTCTCACCCGAGCCCTTCTCCCCCAAATTAGGTCGTACAATTTCTTTTTATTCGGCTATGAGATTTTAAATCTCCATTCTTCTGGTATTCAGACTTTTTTTTTTTTTTTCATAATCAAATTTGGTTTCGTCGAATTGTGTAGCTCTGCAGAATTGAATCCACTAGTCTACTGAAATTATCTTCAAATTCAACTTATGATTCGAAATCCAAATATCCAACAAGTATTTTTTGATTAATACATAGGATAGGAGTGGGCACGGGTACCCGCCCCTAACATGATTTGGCTGACCCGACTCTAATATATCGGATCAGTCATTTTGCGACCCTAACCCGCTCCTAATATTTTCGGGTACTCGAATAGCGGGTACCCGAAAAAAAGGGGCGGGTCATAGGGTACCCGTCCCTAAAAAAAAACTATTTTTCAATAAAAAAAAATTTATTTTCTACTTAATATCAACATGTATTTCAATAAAAAAACATGCTTTTCCAATTAATATTGGTAGAGATATTGTAATTAAAGTCCATACATCACCATTTTCACACATTTCATCCAATAATCAAATCGATCTCATAAATTTAGTACATATTAGAATATCTAATGGACAAAACGAAGTTTCATAATAATTTTGAGTACATCACCATTTTCACACATTTCATACTTCTACAACACAACAAACACAAGGATAATAAGTATTTGGTAACTTCCCCAAGGATATTATGGTACAAGACCGCATCTCAAATAAGTCAATTGTGAAATCAAGTTCGGAAAAGAATTGAATAGAACTAATTATTTTTGAAAAAAATATAACCAAAATAATGTTAAAAATCTTCCCCAACTTCTTTACATCTTTGGAATAGACCTTATGATATTAAGGTGATGAAAAAGAAAAATAAATTTCTTACACTAAATAAAAGAGACAAATTTAAGAGATATAATTGCAAATGAATGACACAAATATTTTAATTATCTAGCTAACAGAAAATTGAGACTCCAAACAAAAATCTTTGATTGAATTGATGCAAGATTTGCAGGAAAGATCGATGGAGGTAGAATAAAAATAAAAAAGATGAAAGGGATGAACAATTTTTATAACAGAGTTTTACAAATTTTTTTTTTCATTTTGTTCATGTTTCACCGAGAATATTCACTTTCTTCAAAAAAAATGAGAAGAGTAAATCATATATGATTAGAATATGAGGCTGCGAGCCACTTCACTTGCACTTAGGATTAAAAATTACAAAATTATAAAATGATCCCTACTTTTTAAATATTTATAAAATATACCCTGCGGGTCGGGTACCCGCGGGTTTTTATTTTTCTGATCCGTATCCGTACCCGATTTTTCGGGTACCCGACCCTCATCTGCCCCGCTAAGAAAAATCGGATCGGGTATCCTATTTTTTGGATCGGATCGGATCGGATTCATCGGGTTTTCGGATCGGCGGATTTTTTTGCCCACCCTTAACATAGGATTCAAAATACTTTGAATCTTTGATATTGTAGTTTCCATAAACGGAAGGGCACTTTCCTCTTCTAAGTGACGCTTGCATCTTTCATCAATTGAAATGAGTTTATAGGAAGTACACTATATATTTCTCATATCTTTGTTGACTAAGTAGTTTGTTGTTGGAAATTAGATTTGCATGGAAAAAAAAAAACAAACTTAAATCCCAAAATAGCTTTAGTTTAGTGATCAAAATTGAGATCATAAGAATTAAAGATTCTAGTTCGAGGCTCGTTACTATTTGTACTGTACGGGTTTGTAATTTTTTTTTTTTTTTGTTGAAATTGCTACTATTTATATAATATAATCTATTGATTGCATTACTCTCGTGGATGGTTTCTTGGAAACCCATTTTGAAAAGTAAAAGTACATTGTTTTTTTTTTTTTTTTTTTTTTTTTTAACGGAAACGATAGATGACATTTTATAGATAAAACTAACTTTACAATATCTGAGCAATGGCCCAAGCAACTATACTAAGTGTACCAAGACACTTAAGGAGAGCCAAAAAATCTCTCCTCATCCCTACATATGCTTAAAGCATAATGACTAATGTGATTACATTGTTCTTTCTTTAGTAGACACAATATCTTGGATTAAACATGGACAAACTTAATTACCTGCTAACTAATTTGATTTTTTGAACATATATTAATTGGGTTATTCTCCCATAACTTGTTCGATTTTTGGAACGCATATATATTGGGTAAATCTCTCATAACTGGGAGAGGAGTTGGATTGATTCTTGTCGTGGAATGCACATGACCTCCAAAGGCTTAGCCATGGACAATGTAATTCTAGTGGTATAGCTTGTGTTGATTTCATCTTCTTCAATCTTTCTCCAATCAAAGCACTGAATGAATGATCCCACTGCCAATGAAATATTTCTAATTCCCATGTTGGCTCCAGGACAGGCTCTCCTTCCCACCCCAAATGGCACAAAGTTGAACCTTTCTCTCTCCATTTCCATTGCCTCAAATCTCTCTGGCTTGAACATTTCTGGCTCCTCCCAGACTTTGGGGTCCCGTTGCATGGCCCAAGCATTAACTATAAGCGTTGAACCTTTTGGGATATCATATCCCCCAACGGTGAAATCTTCCGATGGACAATGAGGCAGCAAAAGAGGTGCTGGAGGATACAGTCTCATTGTCTCGTTCACAATGCAGCGCAGATACGGAAGCTTTGGAAGATCAGATTCATCCAGCAATCTCCTATGTCCTATATTGTTGTCAATTTCCCTTCTCAGTTTATTCATTGCCTCTGGATGACTCAATAAAAGCGACATAGCCCACTCAGTTGTCACGATAGATGTTTCAGTTCCTGCCACAAACATAATCTGAAGCATTTTTTTGTTAGATTCCGAAAAATAAACATGCTCTCAAAGACCGACAATCAAGACTATAAAATTGGCAGAACTACGATGGCCTTTGGCCAAAAACTCAAAGTCGCACTTCTTACTACTAGTGATTCTTGCTAAAGCACTTGAGAAGATGCAGTGTTAGTGAGAAATCACTTTTTAGTTCAGTTATCAAATAAAAGGCATTCTTTAAGGTCAGATTACTAAATGCAAAAACAAGCACGGACTTTAGGCGGTAATCTTCCACTACATAATTTGCAAGAAGCCAACTTTCTCATGAAGTTCCAGGATTGCTTATCCCCAAAATCAGTAAATAGTCCCGAGTATTTCCGGAATCATTTTAAAGCTTGCTCGTATACATGGAGCAAGGAAAAAGTATGATCACCGTGAAGCAGGAATTGGTACAGACTATGAGAGTACCCACGAGTGATACTTGTGGATACACTGCAATAAGGACCTTGTTCTAGGTATGTGGAACCGAGCAGGTGATCGAGCGGTTTGGTCAAACGTTTGGCTCGAACTTGATTTGACCGAATTCAAGTTTGAGCTCAACCTACTCGTTTTGTGTAACGAGTCGAGTTCGAATATTAGTAATAACTACTCGGGTATTCAACAAGTTTAATGGAGTATTTATATTATTTATATATAATATATTTTAATTATAGAATGACTATTCTGAGTTCGTATTTTAATAAATTTACATGAAATAATGTTCAGTAAAAAAAGTGATGAATGGCAAAATGATAATATGATAAATCTAAAATGTAAAAAATTAAAAACAAGAAAAAAAACCACTCAGTTTGATCTCAAAACTCAAACTCAAACTCGAGCTCAAGTAGCTCGAGTCTGACAAGGCTTGCGATTTACTCGAGCTCAAACAAGTTGAGTTCAAATTTAATTTTCATCATGTTGAGTCGAATTTAAAGTCAAATTTTTATACTCGTTCAAGCTCAAACTCAAGTAGCACTGATAGTAATCGAGTTTGAGTTCACATATGGTGCTACTTCAGCTCGACTCGGGTCAATAACACCCCTACTTTGTTTAACAATGACTAATAAATGCCTTCTACTCATGTTAGCTGAACTCGAGGTTTTTTCTTTTTTTTTTTTTTTTTTGGAGCAGCTGGAGTGATAACGACCACAGCTCAACAAAAATCATTAATATCTTCCCCCCAAAAAAAAAAAGCAAAAAGGCAAATAAAAATAAGGAGGACCATAGACTATAGACGTCATGAATCTTGCCTAGCTAACTGCAACTCTACAACAGCTAAGAGAACTAGTGTAGAACTAGTACAGGATCATAAAATCAGCTGGCCTGGATTTCCCGTGCTCTATATGGGTTTGCTTTAGTAGGAATCGTATGTCCATTATCCAATTAACTCTATTGAAGTCAAGTCAACAAATACATGAAATCATCCGTAACTACGAGATTCATTTGAATTAATAAGTTCAAGAAATTTGAAAATCTCTAACTTCTCCTTGTAAAAATTGCTGAAATAGGTCTTATCATGTATAAGAAATCCGTTGCCGGTCCCAGATTTTAGAAATGTGAAGGGCTTACAATTATACTTTCTTCATATGGGCAAACACTTGACTTCGTTAACATACTTAGCCTCATCAATTCAATTGACAAATACTGCACGCGGAAAATCTAAAGACGGCCGAACCTCGGAACATCGAATCCTGACATAGCCGTATTTACTCGTGTATTTTATTTCACAGTTAAAAAGCTATTCGGAAGAAAAGAGAGCAGTATAAATGGTATGCATGGAGCATTTGGTGATACGGTGGAAGAAGAAGCAATTCGGAAGATTTGAAGGGGAATTATTCTGTTAGCCAACAACGGAAGATACTGGGTCCATGGAATAAGCATCTCCAAGGACAAATATGTAATCAAACTCTAGAAAATACTGGGTGTGTTTTTTACTCCTGCTTTTTCCTTGTCTTTATTAGACAAGTCTTCTAATAATTTTATCTATAGGGACCTCAAACAATACACAAAATTTTTAAAATACATATCTCAAAATATTCAACACACATCCACTCTTTCTTCCACCGCCATCATTCCTAACCATCTCTTCGTCCATCGCCGCTGCTGCCCCCACCACCACCTCGTGTATGAGTCATCCTTAATCTTTTTTCTTTTTTGAAAAATGCAGTTTTTGTATCCAAATGTTAACACATAACCTGTTTTAGTTCTCAAATTTTGGGCAAAAATAAATTTGGTACCCAAACTTTTAACTTTTAAGCACATTTAGTACCCTTGAATGTTTTTTTCCCAAATTGCTATCTAAACTCTAAAGGAGTCACATAAGAGTCACATGTCCGGCTATAAAAACATGCCAAAAATATATAAAATATCATTCTGACACTAACGTGAAAATGAAATATAGCAAAAGAAGGAGAAAAGGAACAAGCTGAGCAGAGTTGGGCAAGTGATTAAAGTTTTAAAAATATCTCTTTTGGTACTTAGTGCCAGAAGGATATTTTACATTTTTTTTTGGCATTTTTTATACAATTATTGTTGAACATGTTACTATCACATGACTCTTCCCGATAGTAATTTGAAAATAAAAAAAAAACCGTTAAAGGTACTAAATGTGCTCAAAAATTGAAAATTTGGATACTAGATTTGTTTTCATCCAAAATTTGTGGACTAAAACAGTTTGTATGTCAAAATTTTGGATAGCAAAACTGCATTTTTCTCTTTTCTTTTTTCCTATCTCTTTATTTCTTTCCCTCTCCTTCTCCTCTTCCTCCTTCTTCTCCCCTTCCCCCACCACTCCTTTTTCTCCTCCTCCCCTCTGTCCCCCTCCTCCTCCTTCTCTTCCATAGCTCCGCAACCTCCACCCCTCTCCCTTGCTGGATTTGGATAGTGCAGTAAGAGTGGAGGGAGAAAGGGGAAAGAAGGAGGAGGAGGGAGAGAAACAAAAAAAAAAGGTTGCTGGCAACGGAGGTCTCAGGTTGGAGTAGTGGTAGTGACAGGGAAGGAGAAGGGAGGAAAGAAATGAAAGAAAAAGGAAGAAAAAGAAAAGGAAAAGAAAAAAATAAAAAATCTAATTTTTATAAATTCTCAAATATAAAAAAAGTTATTTGACAAATTTGACAGTAGACTGCAATAAAATCTTATGCAAATATCCAAAAGCTCATCGTTCAAATGGACCCACTATTTTTTGATTGAACTCTACCATCAAATCTCATTAATACTACAACCACTAATGCTTAGCACACATGGCAACACGCCAGCAAAGAAGCTGATTTCAGTATGTGACATATAAACCACTGAACTTTGACTCAATAGTCACCGAAAATGAACTAAATCCCTCCTTGGGTTGAGGTTAAGTGTTCAAACCTCACCTACTTTGAAAAAAGTCCAAAGGAAGTTAGAGTACCCCTTTTGCTTAGTCAAGTTTTTATGTCTACTAGCCCCTTACACTCGACGTCTTTAGACTCCCCTCCCTCTAAATTAAATTATAAAAATGTTATTATTGTACATCAAACAAGCAAATAAGTACAAACATGATAAGATGACCACAAAACCTTACCGATGGGCATGTAGAGGGCAAATCCGTCATCCAAACCAACACACATGCATCTGCCTCTTGTACACCACGTAGCAGAAGCAGCAACAAGTGAGTAAAATGATGAAAATACCCCCAAGGTGAGCAGATTAAAAGGCAGTGAATAGTGCCCAAAACATCTTATTATGTATAAGGAAATGTTCATAGTTAATTGTATCCGTATATCCCTCATGTATTGTCAAAGTGAATTTTTTGGTCATTTACTTTTAAAATAGTAATTTTATGTCCAATACAAAATCAAATCGGTAAATTTTGATCCCAACCTAAGTTTTGACCGTTTTTTACCTTAAATCCATCGCGTATCCCACATAGTTAATTTTTTTAGGGACAAAAAAATTAAACCCCATATATAGTTAAACAAATTACCTGTTTCATATTCATTTTTACCCCTAAAAATGCTAAATCTGATTAGAACTATATTCATTCTTTTTTCAAAAAAGTGAAATGTGACCCAATTCATATTCATTTTTACCATTATAAAAGTGGGATTTGATGTTTTTTGTATATAAAAAATTATTACGTGTGAGTCACGTGGTGATTTTGAACTAAAACTTAGGTTGAGACCAACATTTGCTCACTTGAGCTTGTAAGAAATGTAAAGTTAATATTTTAAAAGTAAAAAATAAAAAATTTTATTTGGTAGCATACAAGGGACATTTTGAATAATTTTTCCTACTCAGTATTATCACATAAACATGTTCGCTTACGATGCCAAGTGGTAACTAGCTTAAAACCGCAAAAAATGTTCACCTGCACTTACTTTATCACCTGGGATGGATTATTTTTTTCATTTTTTATCCTTATGATAAATTAAAGATCCTTTTGAGCTAGAACCATATGGACCAGGCATTCTGGCATGTAAGAAATAGGACAATTGAGTTTTAAGTAAAGAACACAAAAATGGAAATCATTAGACCCGCGAATTGAATTTTGAAAACGAATGCTTCAACAAAAGGTGTTCTTTTTTTTTTTATTTGTCACGATAATAATATTTCTATAATATAATCTATTCTATTCTATAAAAATGAGAATCTAAAAAAACTATTAATAAATATATAAATCCAACCAAATTCTACAATTTAAAAAAGAGATTTAATCTTTTTTGGTAATCATCGAACCAACGCACGGTGGTTTGAACTCAAAGGTGTTTGCCAAGCAAGCAAGACGATAGGATAGGATTCTCACGCCACTGCAAATCTGTCGGGGATTTTTATTGAACCCATACTGTGACTATTTCAGATGGACACATCCGTACTGGTTTGAATGGTCAGTAAAAGTTTTATATACTAATGTTGACCCTTTTTTTTTTTTGGCTTCTCGATGAAAAGCCAAAAGGTTGTATATTCACGCACCGACACACATGCCAATTCTGTGCAAATTAAACCCCATCATTATTATTGATAATAAT